GGGAGACCTTTCTTTCTATTCCACCAGCCTCAGAGGTATATCTGGTGGGAACACTGGAGAGGGTCTTTTCAGTTGTTGCCCCCGGGCTTTGAAACTCCCTTCCCACAAAAGTTAGATTGCTTACTTTCTTTTCACAGACAAATGAACAACTTTTCTGAGTAGACAGGCATTTGATGATAAACTATATAAGGCCCATCCCACCTACATAATGTGCTACATCTTGCTAACTGTTGTGTTGGTGTGTGCATGTGTATTTAATTATATCTGTTTTAATCTGGTTTTAATTGTTTATTGCTTAATCTCATTTTAACTTTTCTGTATCATTTTTAATTTGTTGTAAGACATTTTGGAGAGCCAGCATGATGTAATGATCTGAGACTCTGGGAACCAGGGTTTGAATCCCCGTTCCACCATGGAAACCCACTGTTGACCTTGGGAAAGTCTCATTCTCTCAGCCTCAAGGGAAGGCCGCTCTGAACAAATCTTGCCAAGAACCTCCCCATACACTGTAAAAGATTTGAAGCCACACAACAACTGCAACAACAAGATTCTGAATAAGGAAGAGCCTAGATGATGGATGGGGGACTGCCAAGGAAAACCAGGTGCTGTAAACTATATTTCAGTGGCAAACTGTTCTGAGTATTTCATGTTTAAGAAAAACTGATGAAATTAATGGGATCGCCATAAGTCAGCAGGCATCTTGTAGGTATGCAGAGAGAGAGAAAGAGAGAGAAATGAACATGCGCACTGGCACACTCAACCCATCATGAATTCAACTCCCTGGGAGCCTTTTGTCCTCAGTGCTTTTCTGCTGAGTCCATCCCAATGACATCACCAATGCCATGGAAATGGAAATCATCCATCTGTAGCCTGGATTCCCTTCTGTCTCTCCCCCCCAAAACCTCATAACTCCCACAGACACACAGTTACTTTAATTCCTACCCTCCCCCTCATGTTTGCACAGAGGAAGGGGAATCATACAGTGTGGTTGAACAGACTGCTCTTTCTGCTTGCCCTCCACTGCTAGGCTATTGGAGAAGTACTTTCCTCCATCTGTCATATTGAGAACACAAGCACAACCCTTTAGACTGGCAAAAATGAGCCCCATTCAAAGAAACACCCTTTTGCATGCTAGCTAGTGATCTTATTAGCTTTGATATTCTCAAATTGTATCTGTTTCCTAAACACAGGTAAACAGTTTGAGTACCGGGATGCAATCTTTGGCCTGAATTCAAAGATATAGTTGTGTTAGGGCCTTTGCAGACTGCTAGAAATAGTGCAAACTGAGTCCACTTTAAGGGTTAGGGTTAGGGAATCATGGGGACTGTATTTTATTGTGGCACCAGAGCTCTCTGACAGAGAAGGCTCAATGTCTCAGAAAAAAAAACAAAAAACAAAAAACAATTCCCATGATTCCCTAGCACTGAGCCAGGGCAGTGCCTTAATTTCAAGTGCACTATTTCTGGCAGTCTGCAAAGGCCCTAACTGAAATAAAGAAGTTGGCAGCATGAGCTTTTGTAGACTTCAGTCTACTTCCTGCATCTGAGGACTGAAGTCTACGAAAGCTCATACTGCCAACTTCTTTATTTTAGTTAGTCTCAAAGGTGCTACAAGATCTCTCTGCATACAAATCTTTAGCCTGTTTGCAGGTCCTTGCTAAAAATTTGAAGCGAGTACTAAAGTTTATCTGATTTACCAGGATTAATTTGCACATTCTGGTAGTGAGAGAAATAATTTCAGTGGCTAAAAGACTGCAGGGGGGAAAATTAATGCCCAACATTATGAATTAATGGGCCTCATAACTCTTTCAGCATTTGAACTTATGGTACAGAGATTTCAACTTGTTGTTTGTCATCAAGTCCACTTAGATGTCTTACCGCATCATGAGATGGCATGACTCATTAGAAAAGCAATAATGCTACAAAAGGTAGAAGAAAGAGAGGAAGACCCTGCACCAGATGGCTAGACTCAACCAGGGAGGTCATGGGCCTGAATCTGCAGGACCTAAGAAGAGCAGCAGACAGGATAGGGGGCCTTGGAGATGTCCCATCCATAGGATAGCCATGAGTCAGGGTCCATTCAAGGGCAATTAGCAACAAACAACTTTGGCTTATAGTCATCCTGTGAATGAGACTTCAAAGAGCTCTCCTGCATCATCCATAGCTTCAGGCTGCCAGAAATAATCCAGTTTGAGACCCCTTTAACTGCCCTGGCTCAGTGCTAGAGAATCATGGGAACTGTAGTTTATTGAGGCACCAGAGCTCTCTGACAGAGAAGGCTCAATCTCTTAGAAAAAACTAAAATTCCCATGACTTCCTAGCATTGAGCCAGGACAGTTAAAGTGGTCTCAAGATGGATTATTTCTGGCAGTCTGTTCAGGCCCTAAATCAATCCCCCATAGTGCAGCCATGTAGTGCAATCCCCAGAACAGTTCTGAGGTCCCTACCATGAACTGATCAGACAACATTGGACCATCAAGACTACAATGTAGTTGATCCCCATCAGGAATTATCAGAATTATCCCAGGATTATATAAAATGCCCAGGCAACTACAGTAGAATCGAATTATAACTGTGTAGGTGAGAGCCAGTATGGTACAAGGTGGTTTGGGCCTTGGACTATGACTCTAGAGCAGGGGTAGGCAACCTTTCCCCTTTAAGGGCCAAGGGACTTCAGTTCCCAGAATCCCAGGAGCTATTGGCCAACATGGGACTATTGGCCAACATGGCTGAGGCTTCTGGGAGCTGAAGTCCCTCGGCCCTTAAAGGGGAAAGGTTGCCTACCCCTGCTCTAGAGACCAAGGTCTGAATACCACCTCAGCTATGTAAAGTCACTGGATGACACTGGGTAAGTCACACTGTCTGAGCTTCAGAGGATGGCAATGGCAACACCCTTCTGAACAAAACTTGCTATGAAAATCCCATGATAGGTTAGCCTTAGGGTTTCCATAAATCAGAAACAACTTGAAGGCACACAACAAGAAGTAGGGTGAAAGGGACTCAAATTATGTTACTTAAGGTTACATGAATACTGTAAGCATTTACCTATTCAGATAGTTGCATGGGAACAGATGTGATCCCATCTGTGCTTACCTGAAAGTAGTTCCTATTAAACCCAGTGGGGCTTAGCTTTTGAGTAGATGTGTGTAGGATTGCACTGTGTATCTATAAATGTGCATGCTTTAAAAGACAGATGGAGAAGGCAACTGCTTGTGGGGGGCAATTTGGTATCCTAGTTTGCATGTGTTGGAGCAAACTTAATCTTAAAATAACAGCACATTCATATGCACCTTAACTTGAAAGTAAGTCAGATTGTGTTCAAAAGTGTACTTTAGGTAGTATGATTAGGACTACACCTTTTCAGGATAAAAATATTTGTGGACAGCTATAAAAAGATGCCCCACTAATTGGCCAGCTTGTTGTGGTGGTGTGCTTTTAAATTGTTTCTGACATAAGGTGACCCTAAACTGAACCTTATCCTTTTGGAGGAGAAAGGTGAACTGTAAATCCATAAACCAGGCTGCTCTTTTTATTCTACCATTTTGAGTCAGAATGTGTAAGGAACATTATAGGAAACATAGTAAACAATAAATTAAAGAAAATTAAGTGATAAAAAGAAGAAAACATACCTGCCAACTGTTCCCATTGGGCAGGTACAGTCCTATTTAATCCTGTCATCCCACTTTTCAGTCAATTTTAAATTGCTTAGTTTTCTCGCCTCTTCTCTGTGTCCTCCTTTGTTCTCAGCTTCCTTCAATTGCTGCATACTGAATTCAGACAGCAAAAGTTGTTTTCACTCATTTAATTCAGGAGCAAAGACTGAAGAAGGGGACAGACTCTTCCTCTTTCCAAGAGGCTCAGGCAAAAGCAAACTGCTGCAGCATCTCATACCTTGTCTGTTCTTCCTCATTAATAAGCTGATGACACTCCGATGTTGCTTGGCCGTATGTGTCTTTGTTTTCATCTATGAAATGTTGGAAGGTATGAGGAGGAGATTACAAAATTGGAGGTGAATCTATGGCCTAGCAGCCCAATTAAGGGGCTAAGCAGACTGCCAGAAATAGTGCACATTAAATTGAGGCACTGCCCTGGCTCAGTGCTAGGGAATCATGGGAACTGTAATGTATTGTGGCACCAGAGCTCTCTGACAGAGAAGGCTCAATGTCCCAGAAAATAATACAATTCCCATGATTCCCTAGCACTGAGCCAGGGCAGTGCCTCAATTTAATGTGCACTATTTCTGGCAGTCTGCAAAGGCCCTAAGTCAGATAAAGCTCCCCATTGCAACCATCCCATCACCAAAGCATTAAAAATGTGTAATAGAACAATCCTATGCATGTCTAATAAGAGACTAGTCCTGTTCAGTTCAATGGGCCTTACTCTACATAAGCAGAAAAATAAGGATGAAATCCTATACAAAATGATGGTTGTTGGAGAGTGAGTGAAATAAAAAGTATGGAGGAAGAGGAAGAATACAACAAATGAAATCTATGCACAATATATATTAAATATGGGGTCAGATAGATGTTCCAGTATATAGTACCAAGATTTTAGATGCATTTGGATCTATCAAAGTTGGGAAAATGTTTATTACAATTATTAAAATGTGCCGAAACAATAGCTCCATCGTAATGCAATGGGTACCTAAGATTAAGACAAGGAAAGTTGGTCAAAGTGCAAAATACAGGTCATCAGTTGTATCTTTAGAACTTGGCATTTCATTGCACTACGTTTTTACTTTATTGCATTACTTTATTTAGGGGTCTCCTTTCTTGCAAAGCCAGGGTATTTCATTTTAAAATTTCACAATAGTGAGATGATTTATATCCTTTAGGAAGCTTAGAAATAAATGTTGTTGCCATTGTTGTGTGTCTTCAAGTTGTTTCCAATTTATGGCAACCCTAATGGAGTTTTCTTCGGAAAGTTTGCTAAGAGGTTTGCCCTTGTCTTCTCCTGAGGCTGAGAGATTGTGACTTGCCCAAGATCACCCAGTGGGTTTCATAGCTGAGCTGGGAATTGAACCCTGGTCTCCAGAGTCCTAGTCCAATGCACAAACCACTACACCATGCTGGCTCTCTAGAAATAAATATTACAATCGGCCCTCCACATTTGCAGCTTTGACTTTTGCGGATTTATTTGATTAATTGATATAGTTTCTCTAGGAATCTCTAGGTTCTCTAGGATGACTCTGTTGGAAGCTGACCATAGAGTCACATGGGAGGACCTAGAAATGCCTAGAGAAAATCTAAGCATCTGTAGGTCCTCCAGCACAAATCTATGACCAACTTCTGACCACAGAGTTGTAATGGAGAACTTAGAGATTCCTAGAAAGTGTTTTCTCATGTTAAAAAAAAAACAAATTTTAAAAAATTAATTTGCAGGTTTTCCACATTCATGGAGGTCCTATGCCCCTAACCTCAGTGAATGTGGAGGGCCCACTGTACAAGTTTCTTCCTCACAATTATTATTTTTATTTATTTATTTATTTATATCCCACTCTTTTCCCAGAACTGGGACCCAGAGTGGCTCACAAAATTAAAAGAACAATATAATTAAAAACATGAAAACATACATTTTTATTTATCACTTAGAAATAAATATGTCACTGTTGGGTGCCTTCAAGTTATTTCCAACTTATGGTGGCCTTATAATGGGGTTTTCTTGGCAAGATTTGTTCTGTGGAACAAATGCCTTTGTCTTCCCGATTTTATTTTATTTCTATGCTGCCTTTTTCCCAAAAAGGGACCCAAGGTGGCTCACAGTATAAAACACATTAAAACAACATTCCTGTTGGAAACCTTTGTGGGGTTATTTAAGTAAGAAGAGGGTTAAGAAAGACAAAGATGTCTGAGATTAGGTTGAATGTAGGTTGATGGGATTGAATTTATAGTTTAAGAGGTAATGCAAGAAATTAATTTTCCAAAACCAGGAAGAGCTGGGAATGGTAGGGAAAATTTTTGATTTGTCAGTGTTCAGGAAGTCATTTATCTTAGTGCAGTTTTACTGTTTGTAGAGTTGTTGTAAATTTGTTTGTGTTGTTTATTTTTCAACTTTTTTGTTAAATGCATGTGTGTGTTGTTTTTAATACAATAAAAATGTTTATTAAAAAAATAAAAAAATAAACCAACATCCCTGTAGTTCTTTTATATTATATTATATTGGTGTAATATAACAAGTATTACAAGTGATAAATATAAAAATGTTGAGAGAAATGGAAGAGATTACTGTATGAAATGGGGGGGGAAAAGAAAAAGTAAGTGGCCAAAAAGAATGGATGGAAGAAAAGAAAAAGAACCCAACTCTATCATGGGTTTGAGGCATGAATATTTAGAATTATTATTGGTATTTATTAATTACTAATTGGGATTTATTATCATCATGGCTCCTAAGGCAACTCCTCTGAACCTTCCAGCCATGAATGGCTCTTGATTTCCCTTCCTCTCTTTTTTGGGGGAAAAAAATAATCCTCAAAGAATTGAAAATCATTGAAAATTTAAGGCAATTTAATATCCATCCATTAAAAACTACTCTCCAATACCTCCTCCTTCCAGCTTGGGGTGTTTGCCTCTAAAAAAAGAAATAAGTAGCGTCTGCCCCTTTAAGAGGGCGCCATTTTGGGACACAAGAGAAGGCGGAGCCCGCTGCGCGCATGCGTAGAGAGGCGGAGACTACAAGAAAGAAAGACCGGGACGGCGGAGGTACGCTTGCGCGGGGCGCATGCGCGTTGCCGTTCTCCCCGCCCCTGGCTGCTTGGGCTGGTCTTTTGCAGCTTTAACGAAGGGGGGGCTCTGCTTCGCGGGGCCTGGAGGGTCCCGGCCGGTTGGAGCCTCGGTGGCTGCGGTGTGTCTTCGTATATTTTTGTCTCTTTTGAGGGGAGCTTCTGAGGGGGGGCCCCCACGTATTCTTTCCCCTCCCCTTTTCCTCGCCGCCTTGAGGCGCCTGGGAAGCCCTCCCTGAGGCCGCCGCCTCCACCTCAGCCGCAGAGAGGGGCGAGGAAGAGGAGGACCTGCCCCTTGCCCCCCCTCTCCCCTGAGGCGGCGTCCCCCAAAATGGCGGCGGCCAAGGAGGAGGGGCCAGGACAGCGCGCCAGAGTGAGTGAGGGGGCGGGGCCAGGGGTGGAGGGGTGGAGCCAAGGATTGCAGGGGCGGGGCTAAGGAGGGGAGGGGCCAGCTAGGGCAGGGGGACCAGGCGTCCTCCTTTTCCCGGACGTGACCGACCTCCCAACCTTCTGTCCAGGAGGAATCCCAAAAGGTCCTCCAATCAAGGTGACCTGCTGTCCTCCTTTTCCAGGGCCTGGCCTACCTCCTTGGACCTGTCCCACCTTCTGTCTGGGAGAGGAGGTCCCAAAGGTCCTCCATTCAGGATGTCCTTTTGTCCTCCTTTTCCAGGACATGGACTACCTGACAACCTTCTCTCCAGGAGGAATCCCAAAGGGTCTTCCATTCAGAGTGACCAGACGTCCTCCTTTTCCAGGATGTGGCCTACCTTTCAACCTTCTGTCCAGGAGGAATCCCAACAGGTCCTCCATTTTGAGCCTGACTAAGAAAATTTATTCACAGCCTCAATTTTTCTTACAGGTCCTACATTTGGTGGCGCTTCTCCTCTTTTGCAGGTAGGACAACTGGTCACCCTGGGGTAGGGAGACCACTTGAGCTTAGGGGAGCTGGAAGGGTTATGATTTTTTTCAGGGTGCTGTTTCTGAATTAGGTTGTATGGGGTTAAGGAGCTGCCCTGGATGGGGGGGGGACTTTGGGCAAGTCACACTCTCTCAGGGTGACCAGAGGTCCTAACTGCAGAGGAGGAGAGGGCACCTTAAAATGGAAGACATTCATGGGAAAGGTAGGATGTGAGAAAATAAAAACTAAGAGCGTTCATATGTAAATTCATACTTTTTAGTCATGCTCAAAATGGAGGGCATTTTGCAATTCCTCCTGGACAGAAGGTTGAAAGGTAGGAGATGTCCTGGAAAAGCCACCCTGCACTCTCTCAGCCTCAGGCGAGGTCAAGGGCAAACCTTGTCTAAACAAATCTTGCCAAGAAAACCCTATGATGGGTTTGCCTTAGGGTAGTCACAAGTCAGAAACGACAACATCAACAATTGGAAGGCTAGAGAGCCATTGTGGTGTAGTGGTTTGAGTATTGGACTAGGACTCTGGAGACCAGGGTTCCCATTCTGGCTTGGCCATGGAAACCCACTGGGTGACCCTAAGGTGAGTAACACTCTCAGCCTCAGGGGAAGGCAATAGCAAACCCCCCTCTGAACAACTCTTGCCAAGAAAGCCCTATGATAGGGTTGCCTTGTTGTGTGCCTTCAAGTCATTTCTGACTTAGGGTGACACTAAGGTAAACCTATTATAGGGTTTTTTGGCAAGATTTGTTCAGAGGAGTTTTGCCACTGCCATCTCCTGAAGCTGAGAGCATGTGACTTTCCCAGGGTCACCCAGTGGGTTCCCATGGCTGAGCTGGGAATCAAACCCTTGAGTCGGAGTCCAGCATTCGAACCACTATGAACCTTAGGGTTGCCACATGCTGGAAACGACTTAAAAGGACACAACAACAAGCATTGGAAGATCAATGATTTGGGTGAGGATGGTGAGCTTTAGGGGCAATGGAGGATTGTGGGATGTTGGGAGACTGCATGGTGCCCATCAAGAATGAAAAGAATGAATTAAGAGTTTGGGATGTGATGGGTTGGAACAGATAATTTGAGGAGGTTAGGAAGATTATTTTGCCTCTAACAGATGTTGGAACCCAGGATGGCATAGTGGTTTGTGCATTGGACTACAACTCCAAAGACCAGGGTTCATATCCCTGCTAATCCATGGAAACCCGCTGGGTGACGAGTCACATGCTCTCAGCCTTAGGGGAAGGCAATGGCAAACCTCTGAACAAATCTTGGCAAGAAAACCCCATGATAGGGTCACCATAAGTTGGAAATGACTTGAAGGCTCAATAAAATAACTTGCTGGAAGCCCCAGAAAAATATTGATAACTGTCAAGAAGGATGATCTGTAGGCTGAGGTTTTGTGAAATTTAAAAAAAAACCATGTTTATTTTGGGTCATTGTTGCTCTTCACAAATCACAAGAATTGATAGGAAGTACAATGAGTGGGAAGTTCCCATTGATGATGTGGAAGGATTGGTTAGTCTTGAAGGACTTTGGAGGATCCGATGGAGACTTGTAAAGGGTTGTAACATTTCTTGAGGAAATGAATTCTTTTCTTAAGTGCAGCAGGGATCAAAATTGGGGAAATTGGGGGATAGGGAATCAAAAGTTGCACAGCTACAAGGGGATGGGAATTGCAGTGGTATACAGATGCCTGTCGGACAGAAAGGGAGAGCAGGCAGATTTGGGACCTGGCGCATCTCTATATGTATGAAAAACAAGAAAACATGGATGCCACGAGGATGTTTTTATGTCTATTGTTAGAGATGGGCATTATGAGTGGCAAATTAATGTGATCCTGATGTTGCTTTGAGAGATTTTGTACTGGTGAATAGCATGGGAGACTAAAGTACTTGCAGTCTTACATTTATAAACTGAAACAACTTCTCTCTCACAAAAATTGTATGCAAAATCTACTGAAAGTGTACATTAAGTACACAATTGATCCTTGCCATTACAGTTGGACCTCCACATTTACAGCTTTGACTTTTGCGGATTTGATTAATATGTTCCCTAGGTCCTCCAGTGCAACTTTACTAGAAGTTGACCATAGAGTTGTGTTGGCGGGCCTAGAAATTAAACTACTCTAGGCATTTGTAGATCTTCCAGTGTGATTCTATGGTCAACCTCTGGTAGATGTGACCACAGAGTTGCTGGAGGAGAGGTGTTCCCGCAAGTTTTTTTTAAAAGTGGCTTTTTTTGGGAGGTTTTTCCACTTAACAGGAGTCCTGTGCTCTTAACCCCAGTGAATGTGGAGGACCCACTGTATTTTTACTCTCCACTCTTGATCCATAAAGAATTTTAGCCTTGAGAACAACTTGCTAAGTATTTGACAACCTCATATTTTCCAGGCCAGGTGGGCAGGAAAAACAGATTTCTCAGGCTTTGGTGGTCTGGATTTAGTTTGGTGGATTTGATATTAAAACTTAGTTCAGATTTTTAGAGGGTGTTGTAATGTATGCTTGGAACCGGTGTAAAGCATGAGGAAGAAAAATTACAGGGCCTTCTGAAACATTTGCTGATTTGGTATTGGTTTAAATTAGTGATTCCCAGACTCTGATCCTCCAGATGTTTTAGATTTCTTCTCCCAGAATTCCTGACTGTTGATTAAACTGGCTGGGCCTTCTGGGAGTTCAAGTCCAAAACACCTGGAGAATCAAAGTTTGGGAACCACTGGTTTAAATACTTTCGAAGGACTGATTGTAAACTATTCTACTGTAGTTCCTAGAAAATTGAATATGGTTGAAGTTCATGTTGCACACTTTGAAATAACTCACATTTTAAAGACCTGTACCAAAAAATGAAGAGAAACGATTCAAAGTGCTTATCTCTGGAATAGCCAGGCATGGGTTTGGTGTGGAGATCTGCTTTGATAAACAAATTTAGAAGAGGGAGGAAATTCTCCATTAGAGATAAATGAAGGTTGTATTCTGCAATACCTCTGCCCTGGTGGTTTTTAGTAGTGAAAGTGGGTTGCCAAATAAAATGTATTAATCTGTTGCAGTTTCACTGTTATCCAAACCTGGCAGCAGCTGGAACTGTGATTTGTTTCTTTCCAACAAGCCAAATAAAGGACCTGGTATTTGTTCTATGGTTTCTTTCTCTGGCTGGCTTGCTATTTTTTATTGTCATGTTCAAATGTCATGATAAGCTATAGAGCAATGATGTGTGTCTTAACAGCTCTCACTGCATGCAGGAACAATTGGGGAGCATGCATTAGTGTGCCCCTAGACTACGGGCCTTTGCAGACTGCTAGAAATAGTGCAAATTGAGTCCACTTTAAGGGTTAGGGTTAGGGAATCATGGGGACTGTATTTTATTGTGGCACCAGAGTTCTCTGACAGAGAAGGCTCAATGTCTAAGAAAAAAATTCCCATGATTCCCTAGCACTAACCCTAACCCTTAAATTGGACTCAATTTGCACTACTTCTGGCAGTCTGCAAAGGCCCTACATTGCCTTATTGTAGTCCTGAATTCTAGCAGTGACTTCAGTACAGTCAACCTTTTTATCTCCACTTGCTGACAGTCTGCAGGATGAAGTGATCTAGAGATCTCAGAAGTTCACATGTTTTCATGACTATGATGTTAGCCTAATAAAGGTTTTACACTAGCATGTAACATTTACACTTGCATGTGTAACATTTACATGCTAACAGTCTTCTTGTGATCTATAATATGATATAATGCCATTGCAATGACATTTTTTTTTAAAAAAAATCCTAAATTCCACTTGTAGGAGATGGTACCAGATTGTAGGACATCAGCTGACGGGGATTCAGGATAGGCAAGGAAGGGCATACTGAGATCTCATCATCTTTACTACTTCTCACCAACCCATCAGCTGCCTCAGTAGCAATTTTACCAGTTGTATTGTCCAGGCTAGTGCTGCAATTCCATTCTGGGTTAAAAAAAAGTCATAAACCAGTTCCTTAAAGAGTTGAGAAGACAACACAAAAAATATTAGAATGTCACCATTTGCAAGTGATGTCTGTTTTCTTTCTAATGTATGAAGGACAACAAATGCAGCAAATGTGGCTACTGTGGAAGCAAACCATGTCTTTTCTGATGTTCGGCCTCTGCCAAGCTTCTTCATCTGCTGGCCAAGCTTGTCTAGGATTGTGATGCAGCCCCCCATTTGTGTTGTGTGATGTCATAGCATGGAATAGAATGGGTGAGATCTTGCTTTATAGAACAGTGGACTGAAATACACATATGGTATCATGAGAGGGACAATATGTGTGAGTTGTATTCTAGGGTGTTTCATGAAAAAATTGATGATGCTCTAATGGCCTGGATCTTAACAAAGTTCCATTAATGAAATGGGGCTTTTGTGCCACCTTCCATTCCCTCCTACAGTCTGTTTCTGATTATTGGGAGGTATTTCAAGATAGGGTTGGATGCAGTGCAGACAGTTGCAGATGGAAGTGGAAAATCAGTGGAAAATGCCCCCTGTGCTTTAGCAGAAGAGTAGCTTCGCATCGAAGCCAATATCTTTTCTGTTCAGTCAAGTGCATGTTTGCTTGAAAGCAAGTCCTGCAAAGTTCAGTGAGGTCAGTTTATTCCCAGGTTAAGTGTTTGTAAGATAATGGACTAAATTCTGTTGTAGTAGGAGCTTTTGTGGGTTTCCAACTTGAAAGCCTTTCCAGATTAGATTCCCGGCCTCTAGAATCCTTTATTTTGTCTTATCGGTTTATCTTGCCCTTTTCAAATTTATTACTGCTGCCATCTTCTGTTTGTTCTGTTGTTTCCATTTTTGTTGTTCAGATAATGTGAGTTTATTTCATTTTTATGTATTTAAATGTTTTAAATGTGCTTAGTTTAATACTTTTTTGGGGGGGTGGGTATTGGCTCAAGATTTTATATGATGTATTTAATTGTTTTTAGCCGCCCCGATTGCACTCAGAGGGGCAGGATATAAATAAATTATTATTATTATTATTATTATTATTATTATTATTATTGATGATGATGAAAGCTTGCTCATCCATATACCAGCATGAAGTCAGTTAAGTTAAAATATCCTATTTGTTGATTTGTATTGTTAATCTTTTGGATTGTTTGCCTTTTAATGGATGGCACTTCTAATATATAGACTTTTCTAAGTCCAGATTAATCTTTTTCTGACTACTGTGTACGTGTTAACATTTCTTGTTGAAATATTTACAAATTATGAGCATGAAAGGATAGCTGTAACTAAAACCAGAATAACATCTCAAGATGGAAATTTCTTGTTGTTATTGTATGGTTTATACTAAAAATTGAGTTTCGTAGTAGACCTTTTCCTTTTTTAAGGCAGTGCTTCTGGAGAAGTAGGAAAATAATCATTTAGAAAGAGTTGATGCTGTCATTGCTTCATAGAATTATTAACACTAAAAATTAACAGTTCTGAGGTGTCTAAGGAAGATTTCTTTCCTCGCCATACCTGGAAATGCTGGGAATTGAATATAGGATTTTCTATACAAACTCTTCATTACTGTACAAACTAAACTACAAAGACGCTCTACATGAGCTTCAATATGTTTGTGAAGCTTCACTCAAAATATGAGAGTGATTTTGAAATGATTGCGAGATGGGGTTCCATGCTAGTTAATTGGGCTCTAGTCCTCAAACTTTAATTCCACACATGTTGTATATTTCCCGTAAAATTTTTTGAAACAGGACATTTTCTACTGCCCTACAAGGAAATTGGCAAGACCACCACCAATGGCTGATACTGAATATATTATCAAGAACAAGCTGTATTGTATCTGCTTGGCCCACCTTCCAAACCAATTTTGTTTAAAAAAAATAGTATCCCAAACAGTTAACAATAATTTCATCTTAGATGTGGAGTAGATGAAAAATCACAATTCTGGAAATGGAATTATGTTTGGATCTCAGGTCCCATTATATACAATGGCATAGTAAAGTAGTGTCCCTTATATAAAATGGCAAAATCAAGGTTTGCTTTTTGGAATTAAAAATGTATATATTTTCAAGCTTTGGATGGTTCAGTCTGTGGATGCAGAATCTGTGACTACAGAGGGTTGACTGTAAATGCACTTGCTTTATGCCAGTTAGATTTTAAAGGAAAATGGACCATAACACACCGGTTTTTAGTGTGAACCGTGTGCCTGCGTCTATTCTTACTGATAGTGACTGTGGCGGGGGAACTAA